CTCTCTCTCTCTCTCTCTCTCTCTCTCTCTCTCTCTCTCTCTCTCTCTCTCTCTGTCTCTGTCTGTGTGTGTGTGTATATACATGAAAGGACAAATTACTGAAGTCAGTGAATCAGTTCTCTTTTTCCCATGTGGGTCCTAGGGATGGAACTTATGTCATCAGACTTGGTGGCAAGTGTCTTTACCTGTTGAGCCATCTTGATAGCCTTGGCTTTGTAATTTTTTTTTTTACAAAGAAAAGGATGTAACAAAATATCCTAGTTATGAAAACACTTGTTCTCTTGTTTCCCCATGTCAGTTTCTTCATTAGCTTTTGTAATGATAAATTTCTTGTTGGAAGATATTTTGTAATAATGAAAAACTCTTGTTTCTCATTTTTACCGCCATTTGTTTTAACTTCTGTTGACCATTCCTGCCTTCGATGGTGACTGTGTCTTTGTGAAGGGGTGATTCCCACCGACTCAGTCTGTGTGTATTTGTGTGTGCACACGCATGTGGAGGTCAAAGGTTAATGTCAGGTGTCTTCCTCAGCCACTCATCTAATATTTTTGAAGCAGGGTCTCTTGCTTATCCTGGAGATTTACTTCAGCTAGACTGATTGACAAGCAAGCGCCAGGGAATCTCCTGTCTCTGCCACTCCAGCACCAGGATTACAGACAAACAATAGCTGTGCCCTATTAGTTTCAGCATACTTTCTACAATAATTAATTGAAATTCTATTGTAAAGAAATGTTGCTCTTTTTTCTTATTCAGTTATGTATCTGTGAAGGATTTGTGGCTATTTCTATCCTGTGGGTTATAATGTATTACTACAGCACTCATTTCTCCCTTCATCCTCTGTGGATGACAGAACAGGACAGAGCAGGTGACCAAGCTGCCAGTTCCAGGGAGAGGTGACAAATCAGCCAAAGCATACAAGGAACCTTGTAAAGACACTTGGGCACTTTCTCCTTCCATGGTGCATTGACCATGGAGAACATAAATTCAAATATTAGAGTACTTTTTATCCTGGGTTCTCAAGTGACCTCATAGAAATGCTACCTGACCAACCCACGCTGGACATTGGAGTGGAAAAGTCAATCGCTGTTTCTCTGACCCAATGATGATTTGAAGTTTACTGATCAAGGTAACATAAACACCTCCACTGTGGCTAATACAGTCCAAACTTTGAGAAATCATTATCTGCACATTTCCCTTGTTCTCATAAAGTCTTGTGTCCTAATCTTTATAGTGTTTGGGTAACAACAACACAGGAGATACAGGATTCTGTCTTTTCCCAAGCATAAAGGACAGACGAACTGCTTGTCTATAACTGAGTCCCCCATGAAAAGAAGCAAGCTAATGGGAAATCAAAGAATAAGCGCTAAAGCTAAATTCTTGGATGTTTATAGTCAACTATTAATATTTGCTTTCATTTACTTATTTTTTTTTTTTTGAGATAGTCTTCTAAGTAGTCCAAACTTGCCTTGAACTAAACAGCTAGCCTGGCCTCCGACTCTGGCTATCATCTTACCTCAGACTCCCTAGGGAAGGAATGACAGGCATGTGCCACCACACCCAGCAACATCCAACATTCAACTGTTAAACCTATTTTTGTTATTCTCACCAAGTCAACCAGGGCAACATTTTGCAAAGGCTATGTGATCTTTTAAAGACGAATTAATGGCAGGACCATTTCTAGAAACCAGATAGTCTGTCTTGCTGTCCCTGGCACCATGGCTTTTCTGAACGAGGCTGCCAAAGCTGTACCACCGGCCCGACTGGGCAAACAGCAGGACTCGCCTTCACCCCTTCTTCGCTGGTCTGTGGTACTCAGTGCAAAAGGAGAGGCTCCCCCCCTTGGGGCCCCCACTTTCCCACGCAGGCGCCCTGAGACTCCCGCCTCCTCACCCGCTAGCCACAGCCCCACCTCATCTTTAGTTAATTAATGGGCGGCCACATGTTCCTCAGATGGGCGTAGCCATCGCCCGCAACCATTCTGGTTGGCCTACTAACTGGCGCGGCGTGTGATGCCGTTGCGACTCCGTCACTGCGTTTAGGGCGTGGCTTCGGCTCCGGGCGCTTCAAGGAGACTTGGGGACGCCCGAACCACTCCTTTTGAGTGCCTGGGTGCCGCGGCTGCCGCGTGAGTCTGCTGCACTCCATGAGGAAGATGCTTGCCGCTGTGTCCCGCGTGTTGGCAGGCGCTGCGCAGAAGCCGGTGAGGTCGCCTGATCCCGGGAGGCCGGGGTGGGGCTGGAGCTGGCCTGAGGCGGGGCAGGAAGAGGGCGGGCCGGACTCCTCCAGGAGCGCACGGCTGGGTGCTGGGGACCAGCTACTGAGCTTGGGTGGGCTTTCCCTGCAGTACTTGTCGCCACTGACCCGGGGAGGAGCGGCTTGAGAATAGGCCCGGTCCGCTGTGCCTCCCCCAATCCCCGCTGGCAGAGCTTCACGCCAGCTCCCCAGCAGCGCCCCACAACTGCTCTTTGCTTACGGGGCACTGGGAGGAGGAGCTTGGGTCTGCTCCAGCCTCTCTGGACTCCGCTGACTTCCACTCTCCTTCATGTCATTGCTCTTGGCTATGAGGCCACGTAAGATGTAATAAGGAGCTCCCAGTCCCGGGAGTCGGACGTTCCGTGCGCACTCCGACTTCATCGGTTACTAGTCTTGAGTCTCTGAGTACCATCAAGAGGCAAAGAGATTTAAAAAAAATCGTCCCAGGGCCCTATTTTCTCCTCTCTATAATGGAGAGACTGAGGACGCTACCTTATAGGGTTATCTTGGCCAGTGGCACGTATGCCAACCCTTTTGCCTGCCACCTGGCAAGTACGGGTGTCCAGCTGCGTGAGCATTTGCAGATCACCTGTGTTCTGTTCTGAGGAAGGTTCAGAAGGGCTTAGGTTCACGGAAACCAAACTTCCTCCACTCCCTCCTCGTCGGAACTTTTTCTTGGCAGTCAATTTTAGAGCAATCGAGCGTAACCCAGGGGAAGCCGCCTTTACTCTTAAACACACAGAGGCTTAGAGTTCAAAAGTAGCGAAAGAAAACAGCAATAGTTTTCGGAGGGTTAGGATTAGAGGTTAAGACTTATGGCCCGGCTTTAAGAGCTGTCTAATACCTAAGCTTTTAGCATTTTGACCTCTAGCCACACAGAGGTTGCTTTCTCTAGGTGTAACTGCCATCATGCTTTGACTTGTAATTCTGGTTCTATTGATTTCTTTAGGATTTGATGCAATTCTGCTTAGTTTGGGGAGGTTGTGGAAAGGTCGCAAGTGTACTTCTCTAGGGATTCCATTAAGTAATGGAAAAACACCGTTTGATTGAAAATGCCGTATTCGTGTTTGAATCGGAACCGGCAGCAAAGCACATATCCAAAATTTATTGAGCTCTTGCTATGTGCCCTAAATTCGGTCAGTATCTTCACAAGTGTTAAAACTGCATCATCAATTTTCAGTTGGTTTGAACAAGTTTCTTGTGTGCAGAAATTGTTAGTTGAAGGGAAATTTGTTTGTGGCTTGGGGGCTGGACATGAAATTGAAAACTAAAAGAAGCTTTGTTCCTCTCAGTGGAAAGGAAAAAAAAAAACAGCTCTTAGTAGGATCAAAGTTTCTACATGTTGAATTAGAATCTGAAATCAATAAAAAATCATACCTTCTGCTTTTAAGACATGTTCCCCTTTTGGAGTATCTAGGGCAATAGGAAGCTGGGAACACCCTTAAGTCTTCATTAGACATTAGAAGCTAACCTTAGGTGTTGTATTGCTTTGTCTGAAAGTCGTTTACCATTTCCTTCCTTACAGCGGGGGTGGGGGTGGGGGTTAGGAATAGATTCTAGAGTCGAATTCACTGTAGGAAGTACCCAGTTATTTTCTCACTTTTTGTTGTGATGTAGCTAGTTTTCTAAATTTTTTTTTTGAGACAACGTCTTTCACTTATGTATCGTTGGCTGGCCTGAAACTCAGATTTCCTTGCCTTCTTTACTTACTTTAAAATCTCCTGTGGCCACATCCGGCGCACTAATGAGGGGGTGGAGAGAGAAGTAGGTTGCTTTGTCTTCGCCTGTATCTCTTTCTTTTATGTCTCATTGTGTAGCTCTGGCTAGCTTGGAACTCTGATATGTTGACTAGGCTGGCTTCCAGTCAGAGATCCATGCCTGGCTCTTGCCTCTTGAGTGCTGGGATCAAAGGAATGCAGCACCGTGCCTGGCTGCTAGTTTTCTTTGTGCCTATAGTTGTTACATGGTAATTAGGAACCATTCTTGACGCCTTTCAGAATGTTTCAAACTTAAGTTGCATTAATCTGTAGACCAGGTATCTCTTTATCATTTGCAATTCTAAGTAATTGGAGATTTCTTTATTTCTGCCAGTCTAACACAAACTAGCTCTAGAGTGTTAGTTTTTCCCGTTATATGTGTGAAAAGACTTTCAAATTTAGTTTAAGACTTGCAAAAAGATCCTTCCCAATAATAAGCAGCGGCCAGCCAGACTTGTGTAAGGAGAGCTGTAGCCAAGGGCTACTGAGAGGGGGATGGGGGCTAGGCACTTGCTCTTTGATGGTTGCTGTGATAGGCCTAAAGTTAATCCCCTTATCTTCCGCTGAGGCCTCCTTGTGCTTTGTACTTTTCCACTTTTGATTCTGCTAGTTGTTTTTCCCCCTGTAAAAATTAGGGAAACATGGAGATTTACCTCAGGCTGAAAGGTTGCCTCTTTCTCCTCACACTTTTTGCATGTGAAACTTCAAAATGGTTTACATGGTTTAAAAGTTGTGCTTTTATTTTTAAATAGCGTCGAAAGCTTTCAAAGTCTGTAAGACTGAACCACATTTAAATTTTTTTCTTTTTGCCTTATCACTTGTATTTGTTATGCTTTCCTTTGTGAGATTTTTTTACTACCATTTTTTTTGTCTCTGCATATTAGGCAAGGTTTTTTTTTTAAAATTCATGTTGGTACATTCTGAGAATTCGTAAATACTTTTACTCAGTCACTTGAATAATTCTGTATTTAGATACTTAGAAATTTTCATTTTCTTGAGTAGATTGTTCAAGGTCTCCATGAGAGGAATTTCATTAGTGGCTCAGAGAGAGAGAGAGAGAGAGAGAAAGAGAACATGCCCTTAGCAGTGTGAGGTCACGTGTTCAATCCCCAGCCAGCACCACCCCTGCCCTGCCCAAGAAAAGAAAACCAGACAGGAATCCCATTTAAAGTTAATTTTTCTTGTTATTTTGGTTTTCTGAGAGGCACTGAGGGATACAGTCATCTTCCCCCTTGTGTCCTGTCCCCTGGTCCCCCCCCCCCCAGCATGGCTGTCCTGGAATTTGCTCTAGATCAGGCTGGCCTCAAACTCCCCCCACCTCCACCTCTGCCTCTACCTCCTGGGTGATGGAGTTAAAGGAATGGGCCATCACTGTGTGCTCTATAAACTTATCTTTGCTCTTACCTGTTTGCTCTTACTAATGCCTAGCTGGTTTGATCTTTGCTGTAGATTGTTCCCCAAATTAGTTTCTGTAGTTGTATCTAGAAATTCACTTTGCAATACAATTCACTTTAGCTCCACAAAATAATGTTTTTTTTTTTTTTGGTTTTTCGAGACAGGGTTTCTCTGTGTAGCCCTGGCTGTCCTGGAACTCACTCTGTAGACCAGGCTGGCCTCGAACTCAGAAATCTGCCTGCCTCTGCCTCCCAAGTGCTGGGATCAAAGGCGTGCACCACCACTGCCTGGCCACAAAATAGTTTTAACTGCTGAAAAATAACACAACCGTTTGCTACCTGGCTGGTCTCCGGTTTAGTTTTTCTTCATTTTGAGATAGATATGTTTACACATTGTCTCTTCCTCTGATTTAACCACAGCATCCGTTACTAGTATTTCGATTTTCCCTTGGGTAAGTGTGCCATTGCATTTGTTGGCTTTGTCGGATAGTAGTATAGTAGTTGCCAGAGTGTGCTTCTCCCCACTTTGTGTCTATGGCTTTGCAAGTGTTCCTATCTTCAGTGACCTGTGGTTAGCTGTGGTCTGAAAATACTCAATGAAAAATTCCAGAAAGAAAGAATTCATGAGTTTTAATCTGTGTGCTGTTCTGCCTAGAACGATGCAATCTTGCTTTCCAGATTAGGATATAAATCATCCCTTCGGCCAGGTATCCGCTCTGTATACCCCAGCTCCCCAGTTGTACAGCACCGGGCGCCATCTTGATTACCATCAGATCAGCTGCCTTCCTATCATAGTCCTTGCACATAGCATTCAGTATTCCCAGTGGTTTTAGGAGTCTGCGGAGGCTCTAAGACTATCTCCTGGGCATAATGGAAGGTGCTGCATGCCTCTCATTCCAGCATTGGGAGGAGGCAATGGAAAAGAGAGAGAGATATAAGTACATCTGAACATTCCGCCCTATTTGGTCATACACTTGGAGGTATACGGAGCATGCTGATCTTACTCACCAAGGTCAAACCCAGTGCTACAAAATATATTGTGTTACATATTAAACATGTTTTTTTTTCTGCGATCTGATGAATATGCTCAAATCTCCAGGAAAAGCTAGTTTACCTGCAAGTATGTGCAAATGTGGCAGAAAGTGGCTAACCTTGAATGATTCCGTTTTGTAGTCTAATGTGAGCCTTAGCTATCACTTAGAATGTTGTTCAGAGATTTATTCAGTTGTGAAAGTAGAAAGGAATGGGTAATTCTAAGCAGTGATATCTACCCAAACATCAAGGGAACACCATTTTAAGAAACCCTTCTTCCCTTACGGGGTTTCAAGAGGAGCCTTCTCAAGATTTAGGCTGTTCTGTTGTAGAATGGCTAGCCCCAGTCCATTGTTAACAAACGCTAACATGATGTTTCTCATTTATCTCATACTAAGTGAATTTTTTTTCTTTATGGGTATGTATGATAGAAAAGCAGTTTGCCTTACATAGGGATTAATGGATAGTTTTATTTGAAGTACTTTGCAGATGAACTTTCCAAAGCCCACATGTAATCTAGTTACTTGAGTTTGGCTGGTAATTATTATTGTTCTCACTGTGATTTCTTTGAAAACAAAGCAGATGAGTTTGGCGTTTGCCATTCTCCTTTTTGCCTTCAGATAATGATGAGGTTGTGTTTTAAATCCGTGCTTTAATCATGGGACTATGATAGTAATGACTTGCTTTTGACAGCAAAAAAACAAAAATAATGACTATTTGCATGTTTTTGTTTTCTAGGCAAGCAGAGTGCTGGTAGCTTCCCGTAATTTCGCAAATGATGCTACATTTGAGATTAAGGTAAGAGGTGTTTCACTTTATTAGGTACTAGTCTTTGAACATGTACAGCTTGATGGCATTTTCACCTTCAAGGAGGAGTATTTTGATATTGGTTGCTTTGAGGGTGGGGTCACTTTTCTTTCAGATATTCCAGAATCAAAGGCTCAGAGAATTTGAGCAAGAATTAGTTTAAGGGCCGGGTGGTGGTGGCGCACGCCTTTAATCCCACCACTTGGGAGGCAGAGGCAGGCCGATTTCTGAGTTCAAGGCCAGCCTGGTCTACTGAGTGAGTTCCAGGACAGCCAAGGCTATACAGAGAAACCCTGTCTCGAAAAACCAAAAAAAAAAAAAAAAGAATTAGTTTAAGGGAGACAGACTTTAGAAATATACTCTGGTTGTGGTGTCCAACCTCTTGACAGTCTGACCTGTTGTCATCTACAAATAAATTACGGTGCCCTCAGAGCGATCTTGGCACATGGCCCTTCTTGAGCCAAAGAAGGTTGGACACACATGTGGTATGGGGTGTGCTTCAGTGAAACATTGATAACCATAAATTTAAGGAATCTGAAGCATTTTGAAGCACTGTTTTTATTTTACTTTATTTTACCCCAGGGTCTCATGGAGCCTGGGCTAGTCCCAAACTATCTAGCAAAGGGACAACCTTGAACTCTTGATCCTGTAATCACCTTTCAAGGGATAGGTGTATGCTGTCCTACATTATCCTTTCTTCCTTTCCCTCCCTCCCTTTTTTCCTTCCCTCCTTCCTCTTTGGTTTTTACAAGACAACGGTCTTTCTGTTGTAGCCTTGGCTGTCTGGAACTCACAGCCCCGTAGACCAGGCTGGCCTCAAGCTCATATAGATCACTTGCCTCTGCTTCCCGAGTGCTGGGATTAAAGGCGTGTGCCACCACAGCAAGCTCACCCATTCTTCTTGAAGAACCGCTGAGGCCTGCATGTCTTTGCTGTTGTTCAAGTTGTCTGTTAGTGGAGTCGGATCTTAGAATGAGCCGGCAGTATCTGTGGGGTAGTAACTGGAGGGTGACCATCTTACTCCACTTCAGAAATGTGACCTTCACCGGCTAGAAGAGGGCCCTCCAGTCACCACAGTGCTCACCAGAGAGGATGGGCTCAAGTACTACAGGATGATGCAGACTGTGCGCCGGATGGAGCTAAAGGCAGATCAGCTGTATAAGCAGAAAATTATCCGTGGTTTCTGTCACTTGTGTGATGGTCAGGTAAGTGATAGGTTTGTTATCCAGACACGGTACTGGGATTGTTTAAATAGGTTGCTTCTTTCATCTCCTTCTTCCTTCCTTCCTTCCTTCTCTCTCCCCCTTATCACTTTCTTTTACTTCTCCTTCATCCTATCCTTTTAACATTTAAAACCCACCATTTCTCTACATATTTTGTCATGTGTAGGGCACATGTGTGCCACCCTGAGTGTAAGTGTGTATATGTGGTGGTGGGGGCGTCAGAGGACAGCTTGCAGCAGGGCTTGGCTCTTCCTTCTACCCTATGGGTTCCAGGGACTGAGCTCAACGTGTCAGGCTTGACAGCAAACTCGTTTACTCTCACTGCCTTGTCACTTTTTTGTGAAGTTAGATCTCACTGCCCCAATGATGCTTGAAACTCCTAGAGCTTGCACGGCGCTGCCTCATCCCCCAGCATGCTGGGATAGGCATGAGCTACCACACTTAGCTTTAAATATAGTTTCTATTTACTTTCACACTACTTCATGGGTCAGAAGGCTTCGAGGTAGGCTTTTAGGATAGACACTAGAATGTAAGGACCCACTGTGAAGTGCAGGCTTAAGAATTCCTTTACACCTAGCGTTTCTGAATTTTATATCTGCTCTTAGCATTTTACTGCTTTAAAATTTGCTAGAACCACACTCATCTATAATTGTATAAATTCCTGGGAAAAGAGGGCTATTTTGTTACGTTATGGGTGTATTAAAGTCACCCTGGGAGCCTAAGCCTGTGGGATGGTGTCCCTACATTAGGGTGGGTCTTCCCACTTGAACCCGAGAAACTTCCTTACAGACACCCCCGGAGATTTGTCTTCTAGGTGATTCTAGAGCTTTTTAAAAGATATCTGTTTTATGTATATGAGTACACTGTAGCTATCATCAGACACACCAGAAGAGGGCATCAGATCCCATTACAGATGGTTGTGAGCCACCATGTGGTTGCTGGGAATTGAACTCAGGCCCCCTGGAAGAACAGTCAAGCGCAGTCAAGTGCTCTTAACCACTGGGCCACCTCTCCAGGCCCATACTAGAGCTTTTTAAGTTGATAGCTAATGCAGGCACAGTTGGTTATGGCTACTGGTTCCAAATTCAGAAACCTATGGGAGCTAGCTAGGTAGAATAAATGAGTGAAGCAGGCATGTATAACAGTATGAGATGGATCAATGGGGAGTTGGGATGGTTATGCCCTACCCAGAGGTGCCATGACTTGGTTCTAGTCAGTTACTTCTGTATGGAAACATAGAACTAACTAAGGCTTCTTTCTTTGGTTTTCATTACATTCTATTGGGTTATTTTCAAAACTGTCCAGGGTAAAGGAAACAGCACATTTGTGGACTGGCTATGGTTCCTGGTTTGGACCTTAGCCTCTACTTTGTCTTTTGGGTTACTAGTAGCAGGATTTACTACCCCATTTTTTTTTTTTTACTGGTTCTAATAAAAACTTTATTCAAAAGTGACAATGGCATTGCTTCCTGGTTCCTCTTTTATTACAGGAAGCCTGCTGTGTGGGCCTGGAGGCTGGCATAAACCCCACGGACCATCTCATCACTGCCTACCGGGCTCATGGCTTCACCTTCACTCGGGGCCTACCTGTCCGAGCAATCCTTGCGGAGCTAACAGGTTTGTAGTCAATTTACAGAGAGGGGCTAGTAAGAGGAGGGAGTATTCAGCTATCTCCCATTAAGTTGCTAAGCATTATGAGTTAGTGGTAAAAAAAAAAATTGAAACGAGCCTTCTGGTGTGGCATTTTGTTTGGTACCTCTGTTGCACCTTCGAGGAAACCATTTATGAAGCTACCCTCGGGTGAAATTGAAAAATCATAGCCCTGCACAGTAGGAATAAGGTTTGCTGTCACTAAAAATGCCAGCGGAAGTCTAGTAGAGAAAGTAAGTTGGGTGAAGTGCTTTGTAATATGCCAACAGAGTCTAGATAGCTATTTAATTTTCTCCTTTCCAGTGACATTCTTGAGTCCTATATTATTTAGTGTACCAGTGTAGAAGTCAGGTTTATGTACTCCCTCCAAACCCAATGTCAAGACCACGTGCTAGCTTACGGTAAGTGATTAGAGAGCAGACACTGGAGTTTAGTCTAACCTTCCTTATCAGACAGGGAGTCAAGGAGGAATGGGTTTTCCCGAAGGGTCAGGTGTTTAGACAGTTGGGTTTTATGGTGGTTATTGCTTTGGGTGGTTGGTTTTTCATGCATGGATGTGTGCTGCCATTTCTAGGACGAAGAGGGGGCTGTGCTAAAGGGAAAGGCGGATCAATGCACATGTACGCCAAGAACTTCTATGGGGGCAATGGCATCGTTGGAGCTCAGGTAATTGAGGAAGGGAGATGTGTCCGTCGATTTGGTCCTGGCCTGTGTCTTCAGGAACTTCTTCACCTCAGAGAACTTCTCTCAAAGGATTTCAGTAAAATTTGGGAGTTTGGTTTAAACACTGAGTCTTACCAATTTATGAATTAATAGGGAGATTTGGGTAGTGATTTAAAGTTTGTTCTTTTTGTCGTGTCTCATGAGTGGTGAGAGCATGAAAGCCTGTAACAGCGGAGCTAGCCCTCCCTCACCTTATTATATTTCAGTAAAACTAATTGCTCCTCCCCTCACTCGCGGACCTGCTCATAGATAATGCTAACTCTGGGGCCCAGTTACCAAAAAGAATGTGTTAGATTGACAGCCTAATCAAAATCAAAGTCTTACTTTGATTGGGGAGGCCTCATTCTTACCAATGAGAGGTGAAACATTAACAGCATACATACAACAGTGTCCAATGCAGTAGGTTTTCATTGTGTAATATACCTAGGCTTCCCCCTTTACCTTGTTAGGATCAGTAGTTAAATCTTTGGGTGGACAAATGTCAGCATTTGTTGAAACAGTATAGTATTTATTTATGTTCTGTTGAAAATAACCCGGTAGGTGAATAGTGACAGAGTGGGAATGAGGAGCCACATATATCGCTAGTTTAGCTCCAGTCTCTCCAGCAGTTGAAGTTTAAGAGCATCATAACTGACTAATTTCTATTGAGTCCTTTCCTGGCTGTTTCTGTTAGGTGCCCCTGGGAGCAGGAATTGCTCTGGCCTGCAAGTACAATGGAAAAGATGAGGTCTGTTTGACATTATACGGCGATGGGGCTGCTAATCAGGTGAGTGCATCTCTGAATTTCCAAATTGTGACTAGTCATATTTGGACTTATAAAAAAAATTGGCATATTGTTGATTGAAACAGCACTTCAGGTGGCAGACTCACATTTGGTTCTATGGCCATATGAGAGACTTACCTCTTGACATGATTTCCCAGAGCCTTCTGGGGGTACATTTCTATGAGGAAGCTCCTCAATGCTTTGCAGATATGTTCTGTGGTGGGAGACTTTTAAAAACTTTTTTAAAAGATCTATTTATTTTTATGTGTGTGGTTACTTTGCCTGTTCTATATGTTTGTGTACTGCATGTCTGCCTGGTGCCAGTAGAGATCAGAAGATCCCCTGGAGCTGGGGTTAAAGATGGTTGTGAGCTGTCATGTGCACAGGTGCTGGGAACTGACCCTAGGACTTCTTCAATACCAGCATATGCTTTTAACAGTTGTCCAGGCTCACTTGTAAATATACAGACTCTTACTTTCTTGGACTCCAGGGCAATACCAGATTCCTCTAGTGTTAGAACCTTGACTCTTGGTTTCTTTGTCAGTCTTGGTCTCATTAATCACCAGTCTCTGGATGGCACTTAGCGAGACGTGTCCCAGGTGCTGAATCTCAGATGCTGCTGGTTCACTCTGATTATCTGATCAAGTGAGTCTTGACAGATTATAATGAGAGTGTAAAAGTAATTGGTAGCTCAGTGTTTCTCCACGTTCTTTACAGTGTATCCTATATTAGACCCCCCCAAAAGTATACTAGTCATACAGTGCCCGTCACATTTCTGTACAATGGCCAGCACATGCTCCTTTTCCCTCCCCATCAAAAAGGTGGTTATCAAGGCTCTCTTGGCCTTTGCACATGCTTTCTGTGTTAGGCAGAGCAGCGGTTGTTAGGAATGGGAACGGTCTAGAGAAATGAGCAAACTAAACCACTTGAACATTTTATAAAATATTTTCAGGGTCAAATATTTGAAGCTTACAATATGGCAGCATTGTGGAAATTACCTTGTATCTTCATCTGTGAGAATAACCGATATGGCATGGGCACTTCGGTTGAGAGAGCAGCAGCCAGCACTGATTACTACAAAAGAGGAGATTTTATTCCTGGACTGAGGGTAAGGTCACTAGCTGCTCTATGGTTTCATCACCTTAGGCCTGAAGAGGTCAAAGTTGAATGGGAGGGCAGGTGGTGTGGCTTAGTGGCTGAGAACTTGCCTAACATGTGGGAGGGTCCTGATTCCATTCTCCAGCACCACAATTACAGGACAGTTCAGTTACATTGTGCCCCTTCCACCTTTATTAACAGGTAGATGGAATGGATATCTTGTGTGTCCGAGAGGCAACAAAGTTTGCAGCTGCCTACTGCAGGTCTGGTAAGGTAAGACTGGAAAGTTTTTCATAGGCTTTTAGGTTATACATTTATAATGGCATTTATCTCTGAGTTCAAAGAAGCCTTTCCAGATAGTTGTTAGAACTATCCTGGGTTAATGAGCTCTCTGAGGCAGAGTCCAACGAGGTAGCATAGATTTGGTGGCTCACCTGGTAAACACTCCACTTTTCTCTATTCTTGTGTTTCTTTGGCATTTTGTCTTCACTTTGATATCCAGTTGACGTTGTTTTGTTGTTTGATTCTGTTAATCCTATGTTCCCATCCCTTAGTCATAAGCCCCTTGGATGATCAAACTTGGAATCCTTCCCATGTCTACTTTGACTTCATAGGCAGTCAAGTGTAATCTGTCTTGCTGTTGTAGGTTACATCTCAGTGTATGGCATGGAGGGGAAAGGCAATGGTGAGACTAGCTTAAAAGGAGAGCCAAGTAGCAAAGTCGAACTAGTTGTTCTAAGCCCAGAAAACATGCCACTGCAATTTATTTTTGGTAAAATTGAGGAGGAAACGTGCAATAAATAGGTTTTAATCCACCAGTAAACTCTTGACAACTGAGATGATACATAGAAGGGTTAAGAATGTATTGAATGTCCACGGGTGTGTGTGTGTGTGTGTGTGTGTGTGTGTGTGTATGTCTGTGTCTTGTCTGTCTCCATTTGAGGCCAGTGATTGTCGGCACCCATTCTCATAGTCTTAATCACTTATGGGTTTGTTTTAGGGGCCCATCCTGATGGAGCTACAGACTTATCGCTACCATGGACATAGTATGAGTGACCCTGGAGTCAGGTAGAGTCATGAGGAATCTACGTGTAGTTTCCCTAGTGGGCGGGCAGGCTTTGGGCTACGTAAGTAAAATGACAAGAGTTCTGCAACACTGGCTTTTGCAACTGGATAAAATTGCAGTTTTGTTGGCATCAAGTGGCTGTTTTGAATCTTACTCTAAAAGCAGCCTGAAGATCCCTGCAGTGTATCCTCTGTGTTACAGCATGAGCAGTAATTTTAAAAAGAGCCTTACGTAACTAAATTACAGTGTAGAAGTGAATATAAGGCAGGTCTGTGATAGAGAATTATTTTGGGGCATTACCCCAAATTCAAGCATGGCATGTTCTACCTGAAGAAGACTGGGGTTTGAAATCTCAGTGGTAGGGAGCAAGGCTAACTGCCACATGGGAAGTTTCAGTTGTCCCTTTTCACTTAGGTCTAACATGTAATTCTGAATTAGGAGACTTGACACAGTCAAAAGAAGTCAGTTTAAAGTTTAGCCTTTATAGAATGGACTAAGGGAAGGCAGAGAACAAATTATTCGGACAAGTGGATGTTGTATAGCAACTGCCCCACCAAAGAACCCTGATGCTATTTCAGAAGTAGCCAGGCGGAAACTTCCAACAGTTTGCTAGCCATGCTGCTTTGGGGTCTTAGTGAGAAAGGCAAGGCATATCTGTATTTCCTTATTGGTAGGTATTGTGATGCTTCAGAACCTGCAATTATCACAACTGCCAGCCCCCATTTGCCCCATCCATGTAAAAATTTAACGCTAAAGAGGTAGAACTGATGGTTCTCCCTTCCAGATCAAAGAAGTGAATCAAAACTTGGCCCTAACTTGGCCCTTGTCAGAATGCCAGAGTAGCCCCAAGTTGGAGCAAATAACTTTCTTTTTTTTTAAATTTTTTATTGGTTATTTTATTTATTTACATTTCAAATGTTATCCCCCTTCCCAGTTTCCCCTCCGCAAACCCCCTAACCCACCCTTCTTCCCCCTGCTTCTATGAGGGTGTTCACCCACCCACCCACTCTCACCTCCCTGCCCTCCCGCCCTGGAATTCCCCTACACTGAGACATTGAGCCTTCACAGGACCAAGGGCCTCTCTTCCCATTGATGCCCGACAAGGCCATCCAGTTGGAGCCATGGGTTGCTCCATGTGTAATCTGTGGTTGGTGGTTTAGTCCCTGGGAGCTCTGGTTGGTAGATATTGTTGTTCTTCCTGTGGGGTTGCAAACTCCTTCAGCTCCTTCAGTCCTTTCTCTAACTCCTCCATTGAGGTCTCTGTTCAGTCTGATGGTTGGCTGCAAGCAGCCACTATTACTGATGCCAAGAAGTGCTTGCTGACAGGAGCCTGATATAGCTGTCCCCTGAGAGGCTCTGTCAGAGCCTGACCAATACAGATGTGAATAACTTTCTATAAAAGATGCCTAACAGCCTGTCACCCTGCTATTCCCACAGTGACATGACATCGCTATTAACTTGTTCCTCTCTTTAAAAACACACTCCTATATACTTCACTCAGCTCTCTGGTCCATAGGCGTTTATGGGTCTGTCACTCACTGCGTCTCTCTTCTCCACAGTTACCGCACTCGAGAAGAAATCCAGGAAGTAAGAAGTAAGAGCGACCCTATTATGCTTCTCAAGGATAGAATGGTGAACAGCAATCTTGCAAGTGTGGAAGAATTAAAGGTACAGTTGCTCTTGGAGGTTTAACTCTGGCTTTAAAGTTGAGTACTATGACCAGTTTCCCACCCTTCACGAGATGTCACCCTCAGATGGCCAGAGAGTTGAGTTTGTTCAAACTCAGAAAGTGTTCTGAAGTCTCACAGGGCTATATTTTGGTCCTCCTGCTGAGAATTAGGAGTTACAAGGGAGATGGCTTAGCTGGCAAAGCGCTTGCTGCACAAGCATGAGGATTTGAGTCTGGATTCCCAACACCAAAATAAAATGGGCACATTGGCGCATGCGTACAACACTAGCTCTGGTAGAGGTAGAGAGAAGCAGATTCTTGGAGCATGCTGGCCAATCCTCAATGATAGATAATACTGACTTAAAAAAAATAAGGTGGAGATGATACCTGGCCTCCACAATTAAGAGTTACATACAAACTCACTGTCTTAAGTGACTAATCACATCCATACAAAAACTTTTGTTTCCCCTTTTCCTAAAAATATACTTTCCATTTTAATTCATGTGCTATTGAAGAGTCACGTAATATGACTACCAACAGGGTCGCAAACATTTTAGGTGGTTCTAAAACTGCCCTTGATTGAAAACAATCTATTGCATTGTAATCTGCTGTTTAGGAGATTGATGTGGAAGTGAGGAAAGAAATCGAGGATGCTGCCCAGTTTGCCACGGCTGATCCAGAGCCACCGTTGGAGGAGCTAGGCTATCACATCTACAGCAGTGATCCTCCCTTTGAAGTGCGTGGTGCCAACCAGTGGATCAAGTTTAAGTCAGTCAGTTAATGGGAGACTGTTAGATGGATGGGTGTTCCTCATCTGTTGTAAGAACTCTTTGTGCTCTCAACTTTGACAGGAAATACCCAGACAACAAAGGTCTTGAAAACATGTAAATTAAGGGAGAGTAAAAATTGCATGTGGTTTGTACATTGTTGTATTCGGTGTATTCATGTGAATAAGAGTGTATTTGTATAGGATTTGAGATGGGTAATGAAGAGTTCATAACCTTCCTTCACTTCATCATATCCTAGGTCAGTTACTAAAAGGACTAACTGTGCCATTTGGTGGTGTGATCATAGCTATGAATGACCTCATGGAGGCATGCTGGGATTAATGCAAAGCATAGGTAGAAGTGTAGCGGCCACCACAAATTGTGAAGGCTGGACTTGGTTTGGCACTGACCATCATGTCTGATCACAGGCTATATATAATCAGTCATGTGTTTTAAAATAATTTAATTTTCTCCACATAGTAAGGCACACCTTTTTTAACCTTTCACACTTAAGTAATTACACTAGTATATAAAATACGTATGCTTTTATTTTTCCAGCAATTGCTATAAGGTATGCTAACATTTTAAATACTAGGTCAGGGTTGACATTACTTACAATCATGTTTATAAACAAGGATGCTCTAAAATCACACGTGCTTGAATGAAATGAACAAGGGTCTTCCTGTGTAAACGCGGGGTTTGTGTGTATACTAATAGAAGCTTTAGTCATAAGCAGGTGTGGGGTAGTTTTTGCTCATTCTTCGCAGCTTGGCTCATTGTGAGGACTCCTGCATCTGTCTTCTGTGCTGGGAGACTGCATGCCAGAGCCTACAGAGGACACCACCACTGCAAGACAATAATTTGCTTAAGAAAAACAAACTTGAAGGCAGCCATCTACTCTTCAAATGTCATCTGTAACTTAAGAGCAAAAAAAGTATGTTGCCTTTTTCTGGACATGGTACCATAGGAACGCTGGTGGCTTTGTGTAGAGGCGTGGGCATTTAAACAAGAGTGTAAAAAGAAAGGTCTATCACCTCATGCCTTGTTACCTTGAACCTGAGAAAATGAGCTGTGTTTGCTACGACATAGGAAAAATAAATTTCAAAGATAGGGGGACGCTACCAGCATGTAAATGTATTCACATGAAGAAATTTCTATTATTTAACTGTTTGGAGGCTCTCTTACCGTAGTCTGAGGCACCTTAGGTCTTCCTTAGTGATATCATTGAGAATATCAGAAAGTGTATAATCCTCTTCAACAATCTGAAAGAGTCGATGTATGGATAAGCAGCTTTTCAACAATATCATAGGAATACTTTGATTTAGAAATTTACCTTTTCTATTGTATTTGCATCCACTCCTTGTAGTTGCAACCAGTCTATAAGCTCTCTGTCAGTTCCAAGTCCATCAGGGGGCGGTGGGTTCTCTGTACCACCTATAATGATTCCAATTTTGTTTTATTTGTATTGTAATGTATAACCATAAACTGCTTCAAAAGTAACAAAGTGGATGTAATGATGTATCCAAACAGAAATGTAAATGTGATGTGAAAAGGAAATGAATTAAACTTGTTTGATTCAACTACTTTTACAGTTCTTGAGTTCCCTTTCCCCAAGGGATGAACAGTCATCTCTACCTAAAATACTTTTAGTAAGTTTGGAACTTGAGCTAGTCAGTCTTGCTTAAATGCTTGTTCTCAGCTTTAAAGTGTCTTTTTTTGTTTGTTTGTTTTTCGAGACAGGGTTTCTCTGTGTAGCCTTGGCTGTCCTGAAACTCACTCAGTAGACCAGGCTGGCCTCGAACTCAGAAATCCGCCTGCCTCTGCCTCCCCCAAGTGCTGGGATTAAAGGCGTGCGCCACCACTGTCAGGCAGCTTTAAAGTATCTTATCTCAGGCTGGATAGTCCTTACTATAGTGGAACTCACTACAGTGGAAGAAGTTTGTGTTAAGATTTTGTAGCAGAAGCGGGCAGTGGTAGTGCATGCCTTTAATCCCAGCACTTGGGAGGCAGAGGCAGGCAGATTTCTGAGTTCGAGGCCAGCCGTGTCTACAGAGTGAGTTCCAGGACAGCCAGGGGTACACAGAGAAATCCTGTGTCTCAAAAAACCAAAAAAAAAAAAAATGCTTCCAGTTCTTCATTCCAAGAGCTACTTCTGTGCCTGAGGGGCAGATATGAGAGTCAGTCTAATGTAGGTATCTTTTGATGCAAAGCTGTGGAATGACTATCAAAGTCAAGATACATTTTTGCTACCCTGTTCTTTCTTAATCTTCTGAGCTCTACCCTTACCCATTAGGACTTCTGTTCATATAATATATGGTAACCTTAACCATTTAGTTACTCATGGCAGAAGTCAGATTTTAGTAGTTTGTCCCTCTTTGACACCTATGTCAGAGCAAAGGGAAAGTGACTCACCATTGGATTTGCATTGTAACTGAAGGTGATATAATTCTTGAGTTTTTTGTTCTAGAATTAGCCGAAGAAGATTCTGGTACTCCCTCTCTTTTTGAACTAGGTGTTCCCAAAGTCTGTTTTTAAAAAACAAGAAACCCATCATTCATGAAGTATTCACATTTCAATTCATACATTTGATGAACATTAGATAGTAGGGAAAAAAGGACACAATCCCAACTGTGGGGCCACAAAGAGAAGCAAGTGGGCGGTTACTAAAGATTTCTGTAGAGGTTTTGGCTGGTATAGGAAAACTGTTTCTTCTCCTTGACAGCAAAGCCCCAATACTGAAAGAGTGTAGGAATATTTTGCAATGGAATTGATGTTTGGATCCATCCTGAAATTCTTACTAAAATGATTTAAGGGGCCTTGAGAAGAGAAACTAGTGCCTTGACACCAGTTGAGGACATGTGAGTATACGACATACATCGGCAGGCAGACCTGAGCTCAGACACTAAGTCTGCCTACTTAACTGAAGGTGATAGAATTCTTGAGTTAAGTACTTTGAACTAGACTGCAATGTGCAGAGATGTGAGAAAGAAAGTAGATTAATTTTTAGAGCAGCCTTTGTGGACTAAGACAGTTTTGTTTCAAAATGTATCAGGAACCAAAACTGAATTTCCTGATGATCATTAGAACTTGGCCAGAAGGACGAACTGGTTATTAAAATCAAGTCAGGTAAATAGCTAGGATAGGTAGCCTTTATTCTCAGCTCATTAGGAGCCAAAGCAAGAGTATTTGGTGAAAACAGCTGGGGAGGCATGCTGCTAGCACTCACTGAGTACTAGACCCAGGACTGCCCGTAGAGCATTTAAACCTAGAACAATTCTTAGGAAGTGAACATTCTTTTCCATGCACAGTTTCTTTAAGCAATTTACTCAGTCTCACAGGTAGGGCCTTACTCATTTTGTGACAGTCTTACTCATGGTCTCCCTGGGGCATGAAAGGCAAGTCTTTGTACAGTTAAGCCTCAGACTTCCGGATCTCCACATGCTAGCTCCTTAACACTGGAAGGGAACAGGGTTGCAAGTCAGAACCATGGCTAGCCTCTTTTTGTTTGCTCATGTATCTAATAAGCAAGATTAGTTTATTTTAACCACCTGGCATGCCCTTTTAATTAGTTTCTCTGTATTGGTGAACAAAGGACTCGAGGACTAGGCTGTAAATGACTGAAGCTTGTTATTGATGTTGCCCTGAGAAGGTACAGCCATAATATAAGTGGATGAAAAAACTGTTTTGTGGTCATTTTTTTTTTTTTGGTGGACACTTCTTCCCAGGCAAGACCATGAGGCAAAAATACTAGCATTCACCAAGTCAAAAATCCTTTCTCACCTCTGCCCTTCCTGCCTTCATTAAGTAGCTTGAGCCTCTGTGTGGTTAATGGAAATGATGTCCATGTTTATGCCAGAGCATGAGGCTAGGCAGGGTGAGTTATTTAGTAGCTAGTCACATTAATAGTGAGTTGGAGAATCACAAATCTTTCTGCAAAGGCATTTCAAGGAAACGCTATGCATTTTGCTACCAACTTTTACATTTGTGGTCTTAGTTTTGCCATCATGATCATTTAAATTCCAGGTGTTAAAAATTAGTGACATAAGATTAAAATCTTTTCATCCAAAATGTGTGTCCAGTACCTAACTTCCCCCATTCAGACAGCACTGCCACAAGTACAAGTGTGGCAATTGAATAATCACCAGCTAGTTTATGTGTCTGTGGATAACATTTCTTAAAAGGTTATTGACAATTAAGAATTTCCAGAGCAAAGGGGGATTACATTCACTAACAAGGTTGGAAAGGCAATTTAACAAGTGACTGGGAAGGCTTAAGGACAGGGCTATAGGACACATCACTGTCTATATAAAGTGATATATTGCCCCCTACTCCAACTGCTGTGGGGCAGACTGCAGCTATTCACTGCTAGGCCACATGCCATACCAGGGGCTCTATTAGGATGACAAAACTCAGATGACTTTTGATATGGAAGATTTATGTGTGACCTAGGACAAGGCACTGTACTGATTCCTGGCATTGAAAGGCAAGAGGCCTTGGTTTCTGCTGAAGCTGTAAATGTACCCTTGTTCCAGTTTGCGACTGTGTATATATTTTCCACGTCTCCGGGAAAATTCTCAATAGTGATCAGGGAGTCTTGTACAGGGTTTGCAAGATCCTGACCTGTTGGTCTCTTGCCTGAGCTTGCTCAGTTGGAGACTTGGGTCCTGCTGGCCCTCCTGGATAGCCATTGAGCCAGGTCTGGTGCCTCTGGGTGTCACATGTACTTCTTGGCTGAGGAGGTCTACTAGGGGATAGTCCCCTTCCACTTCTGTGTCCTTGTCTACCCCTTCAGTCTCAGAAGCAGGCTCAAAGTGGGCTTGGAGCTCTGTAAAAACACATAAAGGTACAGAATGGCACTCAACAAGGCAGTTCAATGCAGTGCTTGCTATATGAGGGGACTACTGACTAAAAAGATGACTTGATTGGACTCTGCAGTGTAAATACGGTCCTTCCCAGTTTACACAAGAAAAAACTGACAATGAAGGATGTAAAGACCAGCTAGCCATAAATGGTACAAACAGGACAATGCTCTGCTTGGTGCCTGTTCCAAGGAGCATCTGAGAGAACAGGCAGACGTGACCAGCAAGGGTTCAGTGTCAAGAGGAAAGGACAATTCTAAAACCTGCCATCCTCAGCCAGAGTAGCACAAAAGAAGCAACCTGGGGACTGCGTCTCAAAAAGAAAGCTCAGAGAGGTACAGCATGTGCTTCAGCACACAAGAGCCTGAGTTGGTTCCCAGGAACGACCATGTGGGTGCACACACCCACACATAGTAAGATCTAGAGCCATTACAGGATGATTCTAAGGGAAGAAACAGCCTGTGATTATCAACTATCTGATAAGCATGAGAGAGCATGTACACTGAGGAGGCTGTATGAGCACTAGAGGATCCCTGCCTTCAAACATTGACTCCTGTAAGATCAAAAGTATAACCTGTACACAATCATTATGCCTAGGAGGTAGGTAGGGCACCATGAGATGTTATCAGACAGCCCCAGAAAGATCTATGGCAGCTTTACTTAACTGTAGGGAAGTATAAAGCTAAAATGAAACAAAGCGACAGCTGTTGGATGCTGAGGATATCTACTGGTCTTTTCGGCAGCCCGAATCTGATCTTGAGTGCAAGAGGCCACTTACCTGGAATGAGAATGGTAACTGCAGCCTGCACAGCTCTGCGAATGATGTTGTCCATTGCAAACATCCAGTGGGGCCTAATTAAGTGGTTTCTCAAAATTCTGTTGACCTAAAGAAATCACAAAAGTTCCTTTGTCTATTTGGTTGAACTTTTAAGAAACACTTATTAATTCTAATTTGTTTCTATTCCCACTAAGTTGAGTTAGTGCTGTGCTGCCCTGGATTTCTGCCTGGTTCATTCTTCTGAATCCTCTAGGTGGACCCTGAGTCACAATGGATTCTAAATGATGACTATCACAATGGGATCAATGTCACTGGGCCTCTTGGTTGTTTATTCAAGGAACATTTATGGAGCATCTATAACATGACAGACCGACTATAGTGGGAGCATGTAAGAAGATAAACCAGACCTGGCTTTAGAATTGGAGTAACATACATCTGGACAGGCACAGAAGTATAGCCACTATGCTGGCCAATGTCATCTTCCTATATCCCATGCTCTTGGTGGTCAAATGCAATTGGTACACTTCACAAAGTGATGTAATTACTATATACTTAATGTTTACAAAGAGCTGCTAAGATTTGGGATTCAGGTTGTAAACAAATGAGAAGGAATGGGTGCTACAGAAGAATGAGTTAACTGGTTTGGCTATCATGTTCTCCAGGGCCCGATAGTGCACTCACAGCATCTTGGAATCCAAACAGAATCAGGTGAATCTGGTTGATGGATGAGCTGTCAAAGTCCAGGTCCACCTTTAGTTTTGATATTGTGGCTGCCATCACCCTGTGCTCTGGGGAGCGGATGAAGTCCCTTAGGATTCCAATTATCTGTTTGATGTGGCCAACTGAGAGAAGCAATTCTTCTGAACTCTGAAATCACACAACACACACACACACACACACACACTAATCAGTTTCATTTGAGTGAGTTGGAGGGAAGACAGATATTTCCAAATGCATTGTGGGAAAGTAGACACTCCATTTGCCAACAGAATTGTGGGAGCCCCTGAGTAAGGATCTCTTCCTGAATCTCATCCATATCCTTCCTGTAAGTCTTGGGGGTTCTCCCTGGTCGGTGGGTATACATAAAACCTCAGCACTAAGCCAGGTTGGAATGATCCTTACTTCCTGTTTGACCACTCTACAGCCGTTGTGGAAGGTAGAGTTCACAGAAGGACAGTGTCCTCTTCAAAGTACCTTCCTATCCATAATAAGAGGCGAGAGAATGCTTTGCTACTACTGTGACCTGGTTAAAACTTGGTTTTCTTCCATAACCATTCTCCCTCCAGTGATTGTTGTCTCCTGAGTGTAGGCTCTAGCACAGTGGTTCTCAACCTTAATGCTGCAACCCTTTAATACCGGTCTTCATGTGATTCCCCCAATCTGAAGATTATTTTTGTTGCTACTTCATAACTAGCTTTGGTACTGTTATGAATTATCTGTATCATGTGATATGTGACCCCAAGGGAGTTGTGACTCATAGGGTGAGATCCATTGCTTCTGCATGGTTTATAGGGGGAGAGGGGAGACCAAGGGAGGGCTAAGCCTCTCAGAGCGTTCAGCTGACATCTGGTTTGTTATCCACCAGAGGGCAGCACCAGCCTACCAATGCCAGGAATACTGCAGTAAGCTGAAAAACCGCTTTTTGTCAGGAAAAGAAGGGTGTTGGGGAATAAATATAGTAATTACTGCAACTATGAGAATGTACCAGGATGTAGGACACTTTATTGTCCCTGTTTACACCTGTTGGAGATCTGGACTAGGTAGAGTGGGTGGGATTATCAGAGGCCTTTCCTCGGCCTGTACCTGGACCACACACTCTTGCAGGTTGGAAGCCACTTGATTTTGTTCCTCCCAAAGGATTCTGTACAGGATGGCTCTGCGCTCACTGTCCTTGCGCAGTAGAAAGAGACCAGGATCCCTCTCCTCTGGGGGTAAGGCTGTGCTTCTGTCATCTAAGGCTGAGCTTTCATCTGGAACACTGTAGATAAACACATTCAACAATTCCTGTGTATCTGGGAAGAGTAGCACATTTTGCCCTGGGGAACACAATTTCTCCAGAAGAGAAATTGTGGAAGAAGGCTGGTGGATAAGGTGTGTGGTATCCCCTCTCTCATTCTTGACTCCCCCCTTGGTATTTAGGGGGAGGGAAATAAGGAGATAAGGGGCCAAAAGGGAGGGGAGGTGAAGAGGGAGAGGACAGGGTGGCAGAGAGCATAAGGGGAAGAGAAGACAAGAAAGGGGAAGTGTGGAGGGGGAGGGGAGAGGGAGGAAGAACCAGAAAAACCAGAGAAGAGAAAGGACAGAAAAGGGACACTGGGTGAAGACATGTCTCTCTGGCCACTCTGTTCCCTGCAAAACCCCTTTCTGTGACACAGCAAGTGTTCCAGTACTGAAGAAAAACCAGCACCCTTCAGAGGACCACCACAGGGGGATGAGGGACAATGAGAGTACCTGAGAAGGTGGCTCAGCTGATGTTTGGGCGCCTGGACCTTCTCAAAGAATGCATCAGGCTGGGCATCTGAATCTGGGGAGATTGAGCCATGCTCACTGCTGCTGCTGCCCATAAGCTCTCCTGATGAAGGCAGAGCCAGAGTACCCGTGCCACTCCGAACACCCTCTGTGGAGAAACAGCCAGAGAGTGGCCAGGCCCCCACACAAGGGCTCACTAATCACGGACTGCTCTTAATATGCTGGTACACTCTCTAGTGGAAGGATCCTAGTGAAAATGTAGGGTAGGGGTGGACCTCACAATAAAGCTAGGCTCTACAGCAAGTTGGTGAGCTACACTGTCATAGCCTCTGACTTACCCACTCAATGAAAAGAAGAAAACTTGTTTTCTTTTTAGAGGCCAACAGGTTCACAGACAGGACTTAACTACATGTAAATGTGTCACATAGGATTTTGTAACCTTCAGGACAGTAACCACAGTCAGATTTCCCCAGGGTGTCCTTTTAGTAAGGTCAGTATCAACACAGGATGACAGGCCAGACTTCAAAAATGAAGCACCAGGCTCTACATGTGGGAAAATTACAAAACCCCAGACAAGGGACCTTTTGCCTTCCTCCTCCTCAAAGAAATACTTGAAGTACAGGAATGGTGTCAAAGTGATGCCCCTGTGTCTGTCAGAAAATAGGTAGACAATTGGCTGGGATTCTCTTCAGACCTCTGGGATCACTACTGCTGTTCTTCACAGAAGTGGACCCAGCATGGGAAGGCTGGTACTCCAGGGCCCCAACTTCTTTCTCTGAGCATGAGAGGAGCTCAAACCCGGGGTGTTCCCCAGCTGTCCAGGTAGGCCTTACCTGATGGCTTGAAAGCAATTCGGTTCTTTTTGCCTTTGTTCACCTGCCTTAAGAACCCTTCTTGGAGAAGGTCACCAGCAGTGACACGTTTCTGAGGGTCAGGCTCAAAACAAGACAAGATGAAGGCTCTGGCTTCAGCTGAAAGGGCCTCTGGAATTTCAGGGTGGATTTTAAACATCCCTACCTGTATTGAAGGGATAGTTAACAGTGTTAGCATCGGGTGAGTTCAGGTGTGTGCACTTTCAATATAGGTTGCCATCTCTTGAGAAAAGCTTGGTGACATTTATTTAGATATCCTGTTGCTACATGATGTTTCTGCTCCTCCCATCGACAAATGGAGTCAACTTCCCCTTCCCTGAAGTCTTAGCTTGTTTCTCATGACTTATACCAAGAAACTGTCAGGAGAACAATATTGTGAGGCTTTTAGGACTTAGGTAGGCCTTATAAAGCATGGTAGAGCCTGCTCTTGGAATCTGGATACCACCAACGTATAAGAAGGGAGCCAGGATAGACAGCCATGTGGAAGAGTAGCTGATCCTTACCCTGTTGTACCCTCAGCCAGGCAGGAGAGCCCTGGCAAGGCCACCAGTTGGACGAACCCATGAGTAAACCCAGGAAGAACATTGAAAGGCCAATAGCCAGCTCAGAATTCTAAGGAACAGCTATGTTTTAAGCCTCTAGAGCAGTGGTTCTCAATCTTCCTAATGCTGTGACTTTAATACAGTTCCTCATGGTGTGGTGACTCTCAATCATAAAATTATTTTTGCTGCTACTTCCTAACTATAATTTTGCTATTGTTAGAATTGTTATGTAAATATCTGATATGCAGAATATCTGATATAGGATCCCAGTTGGGGTAGAGACCCATGGTTGAGACTGGCTGCTCCGGAGGGTGCAGGTTTCAAGGCAGGAAAGCCTCCAGCTGAGAATATTCAAAGGTTGATACTATCTTTCCAGATACTCAGTTACACCCTTCTCCCTTATCTCTCTACCTCTATTTTACCCCACAGCCCAGATTCTTAGCCTCCAGCTCTAACTCACGAGCAAGCATAGCCTGAGGCTGCCACTTTACAGATAAGCAAATTGCCCATCCTACAGATAAGGTAGACTGCCCTACTGGCTAAGGTGGTGGCTAAGGGAGAGATAAGTGCTTTTTTCCTAGGATTTGAAAGACCAAGTGCTGTTTTCCAGAGTGGTTGCACCATCTTGCAATCCCACCAACAATGGAGGAGTGTACCTCTTTCTCCACACCCTCGCCAGCATCTGCTATCACCTGAGTTTTTGATCTTAGCCATTCTGACTGGTGTGAGGTGGAATCTCAGGGTTGTTTTGATTTGCATTTCTCTGATGGCTAAGGATGCTGAACATTTCTTTAGGTGCTTCTCAGCCATTCGAGTTTCCTCAGTTGAGAATTCTTTGTTTATTTCTATACCTCATTTTTTTAATAGGGTAATTTGGTTGTCTGGAGTCTAATTTCTTGAGTTCTTTGTATATATTGGATATTAGCCCTCTATCAGATGAAGGATTGGTAAAGATCTTTTCCCAATTTGTTGGTTGTCGTTTTGTCCTATTGACCGTGTCCTTTGCCTTACAGAAGCTTTGCAATTTTATGAAGTCCCATTTGTCAATTCTTGATCTTAGAGCATAAGCCATTGGTGTTCTGTTCAGAAACTTTGCTCCTGTGCCCAAGTATTTGGGGAACTCGAGGGTGGGGAGGTGGGAGTTGAGGGGTAGGTGGGGGCACATTCTCATAGACACAGGAGGAGGGGGGATGTGATGGGGGTTCCTGGGCGTGGGGAGTGGAATAGGGTAAGGGGATAACATCTGAAATGTAAATAAAATATCCAATAAAAAATAATGTTAAAAAAAAAAGACCAAGTGCTTCAGTTCTTCCTGCCAGCTAATTGCTGCGCTGCTAAAGGAGGTCCCTGTGATCCACAGTGGAGCAAGAATCAGTTCCCAGATACATGTCCCATGATGGCATAGAACTCTTCTGTGAAAACTGCATAACTTCTGCGTAGGACGCAGCTGTTCTCATTAGAGGCTGCTCTCTGGCCTTTTTAGAAGCAGTCATCCTAACCACTGTCTTGTACCTTCCCCAAGTCCACTGTGTCTTTATTGTCTGTGCTCAATGCCCACTCTTTGGCTTTCCTGGAGGTTGGTTTTGATTTCCTTGCTCTACTCTTTGAGCTCTGAAACTACAGAGCCTTCCGATTTTATCTCTATAAAGCTCTTAATCAAGTGGCACATCTCATTCTCAAGACACAATGCCTCATAGCTTGAACAAATGAATAGCCTAAGAATTAGAAGAATATTTGATGCTGGATAGAATCCAATCACCAGGATTTGAAATGCGGGGCATTATTTGTAGCACCCCTCACTTGAGCAATAGGGAAGAGATGTTGGCAGTGCCCACCAGCACAGGACCTGAATCTAAAGTGGGAAGATGCAGTTCTTCTCGTGACTCTTTGAATGAAAATGGCAAAGTGGTGGGTAGCACCTGGCATCTTGCAAGTGTATGGTTGGAGTGGGTATAAGAAAGGGTCTCCTCTGTCCCAGGATGGCCTCAAACTTAGTATGTAGCTGAGAATGGCCTTGAACTCCTGATCATCCTGCCTCTACCTCACAAGTGCTGGGATTACAGGATTCTGCCACCATGCCTGGCATAAGTACATCACTAAAAGTGCTTTCATTATGCTTTTGTGGGCAATAAAAACTGACTTCACCCCAAAAAGTGAATCAATTCCAAAGAGCTTGTACAGCGTATTAGCTAAGGAAAAGCAGGAGACAGGAAGAGAACCAGGAAAGTTACTTTTGCCCTGTGATGAATACAGTTCATGGCTGTCAGGTGTGCTTTCTCAGCAGAAGAGTTCAACAGATCAGAAAGCAGATAGAATTGTTTTCCTTAGCACCAGCTGCTCTAGATTCCAACCTCTGTGATGGAAGCTACAGGTATGGTCTTCAGTGGCCCCATATGGATCCATTAGAGTGCTGGATCAATTGGATGTGTTCAGGGGAAGTTCTTTCTACATTCTAGCCCTTACATTGAGGGTTCTATTGGGACTGAAACGTCAGAAGACTCTTGACTTTAGATCTTGGCCTTGGAATTGTCTGGGCAGCTAATGCAAGGCAAGCAGGCTGTGAGAACCTTCTGCCAGTGCCCAACTTCAGCGACACACTCCTGTGTTTCACATCTGGGGAGTTCTGTCCCAACATCCAAACCACCTAAACAAACAAATCTATTTTACCTTAAACATGGCTGCTTGTGGCTCACCAAGCTCATGGAATGGAGGCCTGCTGGTTGCCATCTCAATGATGGTGCAGCCCAAAGACCAGATATCAGCTGGAGCACCATACCCTCGAGGTCCTTGATCAATAATCTCAGGTGCCATGTACTGCAGAGTCCCTATGTGAAAAACAAATGAACAAAGACTGGGGGCACCATACTGTTTAAAATTTAAGTGGATTAAGTGTGTGATTTTCACTACTTCAACAATGGCAAATAGAACCTTCTCTTGTGCAAAAACCATTTGGCTGCATCATTTTTTGACCAGTGATATGTAATATGCTTTCCTTTAACACGATTCACACTGAAGGAGGATTTTTGGGTCTGGGTTACTTCATTCAGGATATTTTCTAGTTTCATCCATTTGCCTGCAAAACTCAGGATGTCCTGGTTTGTAACAGCTGAACAGTATTCCACTGTGGAAATGAACCACGCTTTATGTATCCATTCCTCTGTTGAAGGACATCTGGGTTGTTTCCAGCTTTTGGCTATGATAATTAAGGCTGCTATGAAAATAGTGGAGCATATGTGTACTTGTGGTATGGTGGAGCATCTTTTGAGTATATTGACCCAGGAGCAGTATACCTGGGTCTTTGGGAAGAACTATTTCTAATTTTCTGAGGAACCAGCAGATTGATTCCAGAGTGGTTGCACCATCTTGCAGTCCCACCAACAGTGGAGGAGTGTTCCTCTTTCTCCTCATCCTCGCCAGCATCTACTATCACCTGAGTTTTTAATCTTAGCCATTCTGACTGGTGCGAGATGGAATCTCAGGGTTGTTTTGATTTGCATTTCCCTGACGACTAAGGATACTGAACATTTCTTTAGGTACTTCTTGGACATTCAAGATTCATCTGTTGAGAATTCTCTGTTTAGCTCTGTACCCTATTTTTAAATTGGGCTATTTGTTGTTGTTTTTTTTTGTTTGCTTATTTTTTTTTGTTTTTGGAGTCTAACTTCTTGAGTTCTTTGTATATTTTGAATATTAGCCTTCTGTCAGATGTATGGTTAGTGAAGATCTTTTTCTATAGGCTGCCATTTTGTCCTATTGACAATGTCCTTTGACTAAGACCCAAAAGGACAGGCATGATATATACTCACTGATAAGTGGATATTAGCCAGAAAAAGTACAGAATACCCATGATACACCCCACAGAAGTAAAACAAAATGGAAGGCCCAAGTGGGGATGGTTCAGTCCCACATAGAAAAGGGAACAAAATAATCATGGGAGGCAGAGGGAAGGAGGGACCTGGGTGGGAGAAGAGAAGGGAAGGGAAGGGGAAAATGAAGGAAGAAACAGGTATGGCAGCAGACAGGAGAGAGATTCAGAGGGCCAGGGGAATGAATGAAAATATGTAGTTGCCAGGGGTGGGGGTGTAGACTGGGGGTGGGGGAACCTCTAGAAAGTCCTGGAGGCCTGAGATGGGGCAGGCTCCCAGGACATAATGTGGGTGACCTTAGCTGAAATGACCAACAGTGGGGATATGGAACCTGAAGAAACAGGTAGTCATACAGGACCGTCAGTAGAAGAATGGGGACACCAACCAACCTGTAAAACTGCTCCTGTCTAAAAGAAATGCAGGGGTAAGAATGGAGCAGAGACTAAAGGAATAGAGACCAGTGACTGACATAACTTGGGATCCACTCCATGGATGGGTACCAATCTATGACACTTATTTTTGATGCTATATTGTGCTTGCAGACAGGAGCCTAGCATGCCTGTCCTTTGAGAGGCTCTACCCAGCCACTGACTGAATTAGATACAGTTACTCCCAGACAAACATTGGACAGAGGTCAGGGACCCCTATGAGGAGTTAGGGGAGGGATTGAAGGAACTGAAGGAGGTGGCAACCCCTAGGAAGACCAACAGTGTCAACTAATCTGGACCCCTCAGAGCTCCCAGAGACTGAACCACCAACCAAAGAGCATAACCAAACTGGTCCAAGGACCCCTTGCACACATGTAGCAGAGGATTGGTTTGTCTGGCTTTAGTGGAAGATGAGCCCAATCCTGTAGAGACTTGATGCCCCAGGGTGGGGGGATTCTGAGGGGGGCACCGTTTCAGAGGCAAAGAAGAACTCTGTGATTGGGAAGCAGGAGGGGGTCAGAAATAGTTAACATGGTAGAGAAAAATGCCACAATGATGGTAGTGGTGGTTATAGAGATGGAGAGATGGCTCAGCCATTAAAGGCTAGGCTCACAACCAAAATGCAGTGCTATAATAAGAGATACATACAAGGAGGCACATGTGGATGAATAAATACTTGATTAGGCTTTGTCTGATCAGGTTTTGTCTGAATCAGAGAAATTATTAATGTGTTGATTATTTTTTTCTAACAAGCAAAGATGTACGGGAGGGGGGGTAGGCAAGAGTGCTAGCCTGCAATGTAGGTTTAATCTCCAAAAAGAGAGATAGACAAGAATCAGGTAGAGGTTATCTCAAAAGCCACCGCTGTAAGAAAACCACTAGGGAGCTCCTGGCCAAAATTTGCATACTGGATAAATTCTATTTTGCCAGAATCAGCCATTGATAGGGAACAGCCTGGGTAAAGCATGATCAACATGAACCAAAAGTGCAGCAGCTGGTGCTGTCAGTGGAGGAGGTTTTTTGCTATAACAATCAAGGAGGTAGATCAAAAAAAAAAAACAAACGAAAACAAACTGGAGGAGATCAAGGTAAAGGGGAGAGCTTGAGTAAAGCCTCAAGTATGGAGTTCAGGGTGCAGCCAAATAATGGATGATCTGGGGCAAGGCGACAAAAGGTAGCAAGGGAACAACCTTTCTGAAGGCTGACTTTTGACTTAGTCCTATGGGTCATGAGCCACCAGAGGATGGCACAGGGGTCCTCTGTGGATTTAGACAAAGATATAACTGGCTATGGCAACATTAATATGAAAGGGAAATGCGTGAGGTAAGGAGGACGATGGGGATTTTATTCCCCAACTCAGGGTTTGGGGAGTAAAGTCTTTTGTTTTACTTAAATATGGCATCAGAATAGAAGAAAGTGGAATGTGGACACGACATCAGGACATCTGTGGAGTGGGAAAGAAAGAAGCTTAGAATAAAACAGCAAGTGCAGAGTTGACCTTAGCCAAGGCATGACTCCCATACTGATGTCCAGAGCAATGAAAGGTCTGTCTCAAGTCTATAAAACAACCAAAGGAGGTTTCCTGAGGTTTTTTTTTTAACCGATGAAGTTACTACATTCTTTTGTTGAAAAGCCAATGATGTCATGTTACCATTTTCTCTTCCTATAAAATATCAATTAGTTAACAGAGATAATGTCCATAGTTCTTCCTGAAGACTCAGCTAGCTCAGACCAACCTGGATCTTACTATGCAGCCCAGGTTAACATGGAACTGTTCCTGATTTTCCTGCCTTAATCTCCAGAGTATTGGGTTCACAGGTACAAACCATTATGCCTGGCATCACCATTCATCCAGTGTCTCACTATATAGCCTGGACTAGCCTGGAACTCACTATATAATCCATGCTGACATTAAACTCATGTTGATTCTTCTTCCTTAGCTCTCCAAGCCTCTAAAAGTGTGTGACATCATACCTAGATTCCTAGAACAGTTGTGACCAATACAATGTTCTGCAATAATGGGAGTGTATTCTGTGTAGTCTAACATGGTAGCCATCAACTACATATGACTATTATGCTATTGAAATGTGGTTAGTGAGAGAAACAGAAATGAGTCTTTAAATTAGTTTAAGTTAGTTTCAACCACTTTAAGTCAGTATTGGTAAAGACAAACAGGTCAGTGGGGTACATATAAAAGCTTTGGCTTCCAGAGCCAAAATGAAGGGGGAAACTGCTCAGTTAGTTGCAAAATTGGGCAAGAGGGAAATACATCACCTGTGTACTTATACTGTGAGGAAATCCCAGTGCCCCAGGAAGGAAACTTCTGGTGTTACAATATCCCCTAGAGGCTGTTGTTGCTGTTACTAACACAGGGAGTGGTGTTGGCAGGAGATGCTCCTTCTAAGAATCTATAACTGAGTACAGAAAGATTTACCATTGTACTGTTTATTAAGCTCCCCCCCAATATATCTATCTATATCTATATCTATATCTATATCTATATCTATCCATCCATCCATCCCACTGGAAGCTTTTGGGTAGTTCCCAAAGCAGGAAGCAGGATTTCCACATTTTCAGCAAAGAAAACATAGCACTAGGTGATTCTTTGACAGAGGAACCAGGCTATGATCTAGGCCTGAGACAGGGACAACAGGAACATATTTTCTAAGGGAGCTTTAAAGTCCTCTGTACAAAAGTTTAAGCCCCTTACTCTGGAGCCTCTCATCCAAATCAAAGACTTTAAAGAGGAAAGCAAACAGATGTGGAGCAGACAGTGAAGGCAGCTTCTTTTGAGAATGGTGCCGGTTGTTTACTTGTGCCAAATAAGAGGAGTAAGACTGAGGAATCCCCAGAAGGGTATGGCCCACAGCAACTCAAGCAGCTCAATGGATTCCACATACCTGCTCTTGAAAAGAGACCACACATTAGTGTCTCCCATGGGCCCCTGAGATTTTGTTAGTAGCCAGAATTTCCAATCATTTTATTAAAAGAGTAGTAAAAAGAGAAGTATAGTACAACCTTCCATAGTGGTAAAGACGGTCCTAATCAAGCTGTCCAAGTGATAGCCTCAGGTACTGTAAGGTCTGGGGATACTGAGACACTCTTTCAATGCTGAGTTGAAGGTAACAGAAACATCAGATTCAAGTGGTGGGGCCAATTATTGCCATGTAGTTTTTGGGTATTTTTCAAAGAACTACAGAAACAGTCTTCCGGGTTTGAATGGCTCATGGAAAGGAAAAGAGCAGTGAGTACAACGTGAAGAATAAGTGATTGGAGAGGTTCAGGGGACACTCAGTCAATAGCCAGCCCAAGTATCCATCCATGACATTGAGGTCATATTCAGGGGGTTCCAGAAAGAGAAATGAACATCAAACACCAGGCCCCAAAGTACAGAGATCCAGATCCAGTTTACAAAGATGTTAACTAAGATACAACCTGCCAATTCCCTTTGTTTACCTTTATGCAGTTGGTTAGTTAGGAAAGAGTCGAGAAAAAAGAACATTACTGACTGTAGAGTAGAGGTCACTGTCC